CCAACGCTGTGCTGTAGAGGTTTGTTTGTTAAATTAATTTTCTTTCAGTCACTCCGGGAGGTGGATTAAATCCAAAACGCGTCTATAGAAGAGCCGAGAGATTGTTGTTTACCTCATCTGTTATTATCAATTCTGTCACATCGTTTCTATTGTTGTCGCATCCAATCTGTTGTCGCTAGATTCAGTCTGTGAAGACTGAGTATACACTCATTTATCATTGTCAGATAGTTATTTTCTGGTTTCATTTTGAACACACTGGAATAGAAATTAGCTCTGGCATCACATGAAAAGACCCAAACGCCACAGTTACAGATTCATGTGGAGTTTGTGGCTTTAAATGTCTCCATAGTAAAGATTTTGCGTTCTTGTAGTGGAAATAAACATTCTTGTGGTATAAACACAGTTGGAAATCCACAATTTGATGATGGGTTTCAAATTCCAGATTTATACTCTTCATATGATTGAAAATGGATTGGTGTTCCAGTGTGCTGAAGATTTCTATTCGCAGCAATTTTTAGGGGCATCAGCTCATGACAGTTAAGGTGGTATAAATCTTTTTTTTTTTTAAGATTTTTTTGGGGCATTTTGGCCTTTAATTGATAGGACAGACAAGTGTGAAAGGGGGAGAGAGAGAGGGTTTGACATGCAGCAAAGGGCCACAGGCTGGAGTCGAACCCAGGCCGCTGCGGTAACAGCCTTGTGCATGGGGCGCCTGCTCTACCACTAAGCCACCGACGCCCCAAGGTGGTATAAATCTGACTTGAAGTTTAATATTAGCAGTGTGTGCAAACACTGTAATGCTGCAAAGATTTATAGTTGTCCATCCATCCATCCATCCATTTTCAACTGCTTATCCAAAGCTGGGTTGCGGTGGCAGCAGGCTGAGCAAAGTATTCAAGACGTTAGGGGCGGGCGGTATGGCCAGGTCAGGTGTTTTCACGATAACCATATTCTTGACGATATGACAAATTAGTAAAAAAATAAAATAAAATAAAATAAATATTAATTTAAACAACATAGCATTGCAACAAAATAAGTGATACAGTTTTATAGTTTGCCTTCAAATATTCAGTAAAAACTAAATAAAAATGATCTCTCATTTCTCCTCTAATCATCAATCTTATGTAGTTATGACACCATAACTATTCACATATATGTAGTTTTTCATCAAGCCACAAGCATCACGTAGGTTTACATTACCAAAGGTTTATGACAAAGTGACTTGACTCCTGTGTGGCGAGAGAGGAGAGAGAGAGACGCTGTGCTGCTGCCAGAGGAGCCGCTGAATGAGTTCCCTCTGAGCAGTAAGTCACTAAAAGAGTCTGAGAAGTCTGGGGCTGTTCATAAGACATTCAGGACGCCACACTTTATTCCACACATTCCACTGCGGAGTCAGTGATAATTTCACTTTCAGCCATGCTTGTTGTTGCCAAGTCAAGTCAAAATATTGCGAGTATCACAATATGAATTTTTCATATGATATTAAAAATTGTACTGATATTATCATGAAGGAGATGATATGGCACACCCCTACTGGACGGCCCTCTCCCCAGTAACACTGTCCAGCTCCTCCTGGGGGACCTCGAGGCATTCCTAGGCCAGATGAGATATGTAATCTAGGGCTGCCACTAACGATTATTTTCATTGTCGACTAATCTGTCTAAATGTGTTAAAATGTTGAAAAATGTCGGTCTGTCTCGCCCAAACCCCAAAATTACGTCATCTAATGTCTTGTTTCCTACTCACGCCAAAGGGTTTTAGTTCACTGTCATGGGAGAGTTTGTAAAGCTGCTAATATTTCAACGTAAGAAGCTGCAGTAAGAGTATTTTGGGGTACTTTTATAGTACTTTTCTTTGAAAAATGACTCAAACCGATTAGTCGACTACTAAAATAGTCACCGATTATTTTAATAGTCGATTAGTCATCGATTAGTTGACTAATTGTGGCAGCCCTAATGTAATCCCTCCAGTGTGTTCTGGGTCTGCCCCGGGGCCTCCTACCAGTTGGACATGCCTGGAACACCTCTAACGGGAGGCGCCCAGGAGGATCCTGATCAGATGCCCGAACCACCTCAAGTGACACCTTTCGACACAAAGGAGCAGCGGCTCTACTCCGAGCTCCCTCCGAATGCCCAAGCTCCTTACCGTATCTCTAAGGCTGAGTCTAGCCACCCTTCTGAGGAAACTCATTTTCGGCTGCTTGTATCTGTGATCCGCTTGTATCCACAGTTCCGGTATTGGGGGGGGGGTTATAGTTCTAGTAACTTACATTTTTGTTTCTAAAACAATAAGAGACCAAACCCCTAATGATTAAGTTGCTCAAATACTTCAGGTATTTAAGTAGAACATTACTTATTAATTATTTCCCAGAGTACTATTCCAGGGTATGTATTAGTTTTTTCACTTAAAAGCTGCTGCAATAATCAATTCTTACACTAAGAATTAAAAAAAAGAAAAAAAACGTGGAACATAAACAGTGTCGCCTGACTCTGCAGTATCCCTCCGCTCTTGTTTTGGACTTAGGTTAAGGTTTGACAAACACATTAAAGAGTTAGCTTTTCAACCCTATAAGTAAATCATACACTGCTTATCATTTAATACAGCTTTAGCATTTATGCATGTACTTTCTTTTCATCTCTCATGCTCCATAACTTCTGTGTGTCAGGCATCTGCCCTCCACTGTTAAACTATTAACATCCCTTTACAATCAAGCTATCAAAGTTATGGACAGGAGGCAAGTAAGATGTCATTCTTACAATACCCCAAAGAAGTATAATCTTTTCAGCAGGCATGTGCACAGATAGACCCCAGGTGGTGCTCAAGCATCCGCTCTTTGCCCTCTGTCTAGATAAGTGCCCTTTGAGCAAGACATTTTTTACAGCTAGCCTAATTTAGGCAATAACCCACCATTAATCTTAACAAGAAGTCAGCTGGTCTGGCATAAAACCACAGTCTCCCTCAGACTCTCTGGCAGATTTGGGTTCAACAGCTGCCTGTGGCGAGCAGAGACAGACGCCGAACTGCTTTCCAATTTTCATGTGTCTTTATAAACTAAAAGTCATCATGAAATATTGTCTACATCTCCCATATTGTGGCTTTGATACTTAATTTAAACTAATCTGACATGCATTTTGGTGCTGTGCGTACATCCCGTGCGCAGAGCACAAAGCCACAGCCGCTCTGTGTGTCTGTTCTAGGATTATTTAATTAAAGCTTATGTAGAAGATAATTATAAGAAGCAGTATGTGACTATTTGAAAGGGAAAGAGGAGGACAAGAAAATGAGGAGTGCAAAGGGAAGCATTGGAGAATAAAGTGAGGAGAGGAGGGGAGAACACACTTGAAGCCTGATTGTTGTAATTAAACATAGGTCTCTCTGTAGTTTGTAGGGTAGATTGGTTTGTTGATTATCTTATTTATTCGGAGAACAGCGATTTTTAATGTTGTGTAAAGATTTGTTAATAGTGAATGGTTATTTATTTTATTGTCCACTAAAGTGTGCACACTGTGGTGTTGTTTTCTTTGTTGCTGCCTGTTAAAATGTGTATGTGTAGCAGCTGCCAGATGTTTATAGTACAGATCTTGAGACACCTCTGACAGACATTTCCCCTGCTCATTCCTGTGCACAAAGATACTGTATGTACTTCAGGCTCAAGAGCTCTTCTGGTGCCGGGAGACACATGGAAACCTTCTGGCACAGCCTCTGCAAGCGAATAAAAGGATTTCCGCAAAACCCACAGGCAAAATTTTTGTGTAAGGGATGCCCCTGTTTTTCCCACTTGAGCACCTGCCCCACAAAATCATTACGTCAGATGCTGGTGAACACGCTTGACTGAACGTGGAGCAGAATCAAACAAAACTCTTCAAAAACACTCAAAAATACCGCAGGAAAAAGATAAATGGATTTGTGCTGGTTGTAGCCTATCCAACAAATCTGAGATCATGTTGGGACCTCTGACAAGGTCTGATAAAGTTTCTGACATTAATCTACAAGAGGAGTTTAAAGCTATTCATGAGGGGATGGCTTCAATACAAGCTGCTCTTGAATTGCAGCTGAATAAAAAAGTGGACACGTTACTTGACACAATGATGAAGCTGGCGCACGACAACATGGAATCAATGAAAAAACAGATGGAGAAAATTACCAAGGAAATCAGGGAAAGTCTCACCCCTGAAATTCAAATGTTTCCACCATCTAACTGAACCCATTTTCAACACTAGAATTAGGCTTCACTACACTGCCACTAACACCTGAAGTACATCAGAGGGAAATTGTAGAATTCCTTAAGACTTCCTTTGCACAAATGCCATCTCAGTTAAAGGTACCATCCTCCACCTTCCAGCTCAAAGCAGATTCAGGATTTTAAAATGTTAAGATAATACTTCAAATGTTTTGTGTTCTGATTTGTCTATTTGAATGCTTGTATTTGTGTTGTCATGGATGATTGTTCTTCTTTTTGATTACTATATGCACTGATTTAAGATTTTAAATTGTAAGATGTGATTTAATGATCACAAAAACTATCAGCGCCCATCAAGGGAATGATGTTGGACATTAGCTATACTCTATACAAGTGTAGTTCATTGGACACTGCTACTGCAACTGTCAATGTTTCTCTGTACTCATCCGTTACAAATAGAAGAAACTAAACAGAGCATTTCAGTGTCTTGCAGCTTTTTGTTTTGGTTTTGTGGCCCACAATTTTACAGTTATGGTTTACTCTAACTGCTCTCACGCAGAAACAACACTACCTCTCCAGCACCAAAGAGATGGACAATGTTAGCGACTAGCTGGTGAACAAAGTGAAGCAATTAGCAGCTAAAGAGCTGGATATTTCCCTTAGGAGCTGGAGGAGACCAAAAACAGAGCTAAAAGAGATTGGAAGTTGGAGTTAGATCCATCAGGTGGCCAGAAACACGACTCCTGTGGAATGATAATGTGATAATGTGTTTGTGCGACTTATGATGATAATGTTGTTTTATTGTTCTTGTTCTACCCAGGTGGACGTCGCCGGTCTGAGCCCGACGAGGCGGAGCTGCTGAGGGTCAGCAGGCGATTGGTGGAGGATGCCGTCAATCGCGCCTTGCAACAGTACAAACAAGAAACACTTCAAAACGGGGGCGGGCCTAACGCCACGGCACTGCAGCCCCCCGGAAACACTGAGGAAACTGCAACAAAGACAGACACTACAGCTAACTCCACCACAGACAACAGGAAGTGACATCATCGGACTGAGGTACAGAGACTGAGAAAACCAGCAGCCCAGAAGACATCAGCCAGGCCTGGCTAACCAGGAGAAGAGTCAGTAAGCCCTGGGCACCAAGCCTGAACCAGCCAACCAGTCAGCCCAGTTCGCTGACGAGCTAACCCAGCTAGCCAACCACAGCGGCTAGCCAGTCATGCTAGCTCCCTGCCCAACTGACCTAGCTTGACACAGTGCTATTTAAATAGATAATGTAGCTTGAGTTTAGTGCCACGTGACCGTCCCAGCAGGCCAGCTAGCCTGTCAGTCAACTCACTACATCTAACAGCAAGGATATTGTCCCTCGATCCGCACTCGGCTGTGGATCTGCACGTCATACCCAGAGAACATGTGAAGCACTCCTCTAGAGACACGCATGCACATGTAGGGTTCACTTTGACCTGCCTCTCACTAACTGCCCTTTAGAATAAGATAAAACATGTTTTGTAGAGTTTGGTTTACCATCACCTGCACTTAAAATGGGACTCAGTATCCTCAGTTTCCCTGTGATGAAAAACTTTCTCCTTCACTTCATTTGAGGTGAAGAAAATATTTTACTTTTATGTTAGCTCACGTTTCTCTTAAAAAAAAAAAATCAGTGCTGTCTTCATCGACGAAAGATTACTCATCTGCTCATCTTCGTGGCTGAAGAGGATGTTTGAGAAGAGCTGGTTTGACTGTGTTGTGACTGGATTTGTGAGATGTCGGACTTCAGTGCAAGTTTTTTGTTGTCGGCCTGTTTTGCAGTGAGTCTGGGTTCATAGCACTTTCAGTTCAATTTCAGGAAACTTTAAACTTCCAGCATTTAATTACACGTTTTACATAAGATGCTTGTCTGCATACCACACTGCATTTTTTTGTCTTTATTCTAAGTTGTTTGTAGAAAGTGATCTGGCCCCAGCTATGCTCTAAGTATTATATATTAGTGTTGTGTTAACTACGTGTGTCCTGCCAGGGCAGCACTGAGACAATCATCGATTTAAGATCAGTTATAAGCTCTGAATTCACACGTTCAAACAAGTGATACCAGCTTTTAGAAGCCCAATCTGGACTCCTCTGCTGGGTCCTCAAACACTGTGGGAAGCATTCAGACTGGTATCCCTCTATCACATTAATTTATCTCCGCTAATACAGTAACTTTATACTTAAAGGATGAATTGGAGATACTTAATTGCTCATGCTAAGGATAATATAACACTCCAACGACGCACTACATGCTGCCAAGAATGCATTTTTACTTTATTAATGCCAAAACCTCCATTAATGACTTGGGTGCTTGTCTCAATTAAACTATTGTTAAACTACTATTTTTATGTGGCAGGCTCTTATTATTATTACACACAGGCATTAAGTCCATAACTCAGCTTCCTGCCTGATCATATATAACTGTAGTTATTTTTTGTTCACATGCTATATTGTTTTTTTTTTTCTGTGATGAATTTGAAGCACTGCTCAGATGATGATTTATTTGTGTTGAAGCCATTCATAAAGTGTTTGGTTCAAGGGTAACTTCAGTATTTTTCAACCTGGACCCTTTTCTTCTCATTTTTTAGTGTCTAATCGACTAATGGGAGCAACTTGTGCTGACGTAGAGTGCTGCAGCTGGAAGTGGTGAAACAGGCTGCAATGTAATTATTCTACTACTAGTTTACATCCAGACTCAATTATTGTTATAAGTGTCTGACAACATTATGGAAAGGATCCCTACAGAGATAGACCTTTTTGTTAAAGAGTAAGATCTTGTTTGTTTAGCTAGAAGCAGCCCCAACATCACTTTCACCAAACCACCAGACTCCATTTAAATAAAGAGTAATTTTAGCGTGTATAGAGCCAACATGTTTTCGCAACTAACTGGGTGAATTCAGACTTTATTTCAAACAAACCAGAGTTGGGAAGTGTTGGAACAGTGGAAAGATGAACCAAGATGGGTTTTGTGAGCTGTATTTTGTTTCTGTTGACTTAAAATGAAGTATGTTTTACAATGGTAACATTGCTGTTTATTTAAATGGAGTCTGGTGGGTTTGGCAGGAGTGATTTTGTGGCTGTTTCTGGTTAAAGAAAAAGAAAATTAGGCTATATCCACAATGATTTGAATTTTAAGATGCCTAGTGTTCAGACGACTGCGGCGTTGAATCGCAGAGCTTGAAAATGTGACTGACCCTGTTGGAATTTGAAAAATTGCGTTTTAGTCTGGACAGGCGGAAACAATGACGCAGACACCTACGTTCGCTTCCCAACTGGGTCTTATCAGTCACAATGTGTCAATCCAAAACATTATCTTTAAGTCTACATACCTTTTGTGTTTTCATCCATCTTATGTAGGTACACCTTTCCAATTGCCATAACTTAAGCTCCGGGTACGGCTTTGATATGAAACAGTATTTGCTTTTGTAAGAACTTTCAGTAGTAGTTCCACCTTGTCGTCAGTGCAAGCAAAGAAATCCTTGGTCGTACTTTTTTTTACCATCGCCATAGTATTTTCTATGCCTTTTTTTAGGTGTTAGTATGGATGGCAATTATATCTGAAACAATGCTAATTCGATCGTGTGTACAGGGATTGTTTTTATTTAAAAACACTTTTAAAATGAAAATATATTAGTGTGGATGGAGCCTTATGGTTTAACAAAATGATCTATCTCTGTAGGGATCACTTCCATAATGTTGTCACACACACACTTTGGATAATAATATGAGCCTGTCAGCACCAGGTTGAAAAATACCAAAGTTCCCCTTTAAAGTCTGTAACACAGACTGAAGCCTGGCTGTTTGAGGCTCACTGTTCATTGGGAGTATTTATGCTGATCTGAGGAGCTTTTATTCTGTAGTACTGTACATGAAGGAGCAGTCACAGCCTGGCAAGTTCTTCAGAAGGTGATGCTGATGTCGGGGAGATTAACGCAGACAATCGCTGCTGTCAGCTGAAAACCCTCCGGCTCTTGATTTCAGTGTCTTCCATCCATTTTTTTGTGTGTGTGTGTTAAACTTGAAAATAGAATTGGCCTTTTTCATGTTCTGCATTTGACCTCACAGCTCATAAAATCCATACAGAATCACACAAGCGCGTGTGTGAAATTACGGGGGATTGTCTGATTTTTCTTTTCTTTATTTAAGCTTGACTTCCTGGAGATGAGGTTTTCGACTGACAGCAAGATGATGATGCTGATACAGCTTTTACTCTCTGACATTATTTTATCCGTTCTAACTATTATTTATAATGCTTTGCTGTTCCTGTCAGAAAAATGAACTTCATGTGAAAAGATATTTAATTTGAAATGAGAAAAAAAGCACAAAATGATGAATTTGTTTTTTTTTTTTTTTAATTGTCTTTGATTTCACTTGTTAAAAAGCAGGTAAATATAAACATGCTGTTAAATGAAATCACCTCTGTTCAAAGTGGCCTTAAGTCACTGAAACAAGTAGGTTGTTCTGTAAGTGCTTAAGGTGACAATGCATAGGTTACATTCTTAGCCAGTGTGGGGTGATGATGGCTCGTTCTGCTGTGAGATCTGCCAAAGTCTCTTAAATGTAAACCTGTGGCTTAAGAGTCGGATTCTTGAGTTAAATGTAAAAAGAAAAATCGTCCACCATGGAGCAGAATTCATGTCATTACTGTTATAAGATAAATCGATTTCCGTCAACCGTTTTATTTCCCTGTAGTGCGAACAGGTGTGAGCTGGAAAATGTGCTCTCATCCCTGTGAAATCCACTTAAGTCCTGTCACTGCGGGCTCATTCAAACGTCAATAACAAGGTGAATTCTGTCTTAAGGTGGACTTTGAACGCTTTCGTTTTGATCTTTTATTGTCACCGGATCCTTAATCTCCTTAAAATCCCCTTTAATACACAATTTGTCCTGTTGGCCTGTACGGTTAGTCTGTTCATCTGTCTCTCAGAGTGTGTGTGTGTGTGTGTGTGTTTCTGTCTGTGAATGTAGGATGTTTGATCAGTGGTTCCCCTGAGAAATTCTTGTCTCTATCAATCATGACAACTCGGAGCTGTGTGTGCGTGTGCGAACGTCTGTACAAATTTGTCTTCTCTGTTTGTCTTCCCAATGTTTCCGTGTGTGCGTTTGAGCGTGTGGGTGTGTTGGTTGTACTGTATTGTATATCTTGTTCTTGCCATATTTGAACAATAAAACAGGATATGAAATTCAAAACCAATATCCTCTCTCCATCTCCTGATTTCATTCTGGGTGCACACGTAGGCCCACAGAGGTTACACAGTGTGTAGTACAGGAATCATTTTTGCCAGACACTGCAAAAGGACTGTGTCCACCTGTATGTCTCCTTATGCACTAGTACGACTATTAGTCTGATGTGTTATTGGACAGCGCCCAGATTTTCTAAAGGGTCTGCATTATTAGTGACAAATGTAGCAATTACAGGTGATTATGGAGGCATTTGTTCCCTAAATGTCGTGTCCATTTTGGTGAAAATAGCAGCCAGTTTATTCACCAGAAAATATTTAAATTACAAAATAGTTGTTCTCAAAAATGAACTGTTTTATGAGCAGACAGTCCACCCCAAAATCATAATGACATATTTTCCCTCTTACCTGTAGTGCTATTTATCAGTCTAGATTGTTTCTGTGAGAGTGGCAGAGTGTTGGCGATATAGGCCGTAGAGATGTCTGCCTTCTCTTGAATATAATGGAAATAGATGGCACTCAGCTTGTGGTGCTCAAAGTGCCCAAAAAAACAAAAAAACAAACAAAAAACAAAAACGCATTAGGAGTTGAAAACCCACCTATGCATTTTCTGGGATACTTTTTGACACTTCTCAGTAACAGAATTCATATATAAATTAATAGACTTAAATAAAAATTCCATACCAACATAGGGCTTAAAAGTTATTCAATAGTCCTAAATTTGAATCTATGATGCCATAATTGCCACAAACATTTTTTATCCGGTTTCATTTATTCATCTTTTAATTTGTCCTTGTAAAAATGAGACAAACTCTTATGCGTGAAAGTCCACATTTCTAATGTTACAAATCTTTGAATCTACCGCTGAAAATGCACTGTTTTTTCCTGCAGACTACTTTGTGAGTGGGATAAATACAATAAATAATCAAACAATAAAACACTGAATCTTATACTCTCTTTTTACGTCATATTTACACTTACCTGTAGGCAAAATGTAAATTAACCCAGCTCACTCCAATAAACATATTCATGATATAAAATCTACCTCTGCATGAGACTACATATATACTACCAACCTTTTTATTACCTGCAGTGTTTGAATAAGAAAAAGGGTTATTCGTCCAAAAAGTAGTCTTAAAAGTGGTTATAAATGTTTCTTGAAAAGCATTTTTAAAAGTATTTCACTGCTAGAAAGATAGTCTTTTCATAGAACTGGGCTGTCTATGTAGTAGAATTTGCAAACACTTTTAAAATTGGTGCTACATGACCAAAGAAAACAGGCAAAAAGGGCTGTGCCATTTGCGTTTGTTCAAGGTGAAGAAAACCTACAACTACCAGAATGCCCTGCGCCGCAACACTCTGCTGGCAGGTGAGGTAACGCCAGCTTGGCCATTTTCTTCAGGAAACAAAATGGCTGCCGGCTGGAAACAAACAATCTCGGCTAACAGTAAACAGTAAGCTAAAATAAGCTTCTGAAAACAATTAAGACTTGAAATAGGCAACACTGTAACAATATATTGGTTTATATTTGAGCAGCGCTGCTTAGTTTTACAGTTTGGAGTGAGTTTGGTCCGTTTTTAACAGAATAAAAGAAACGTTACTGTCTGTAGTTTGAGCAACGGCCCCAGTTAGCTTAAAGCCGCTGGAAAGATGGAGGGACGTTTACTACATGTCATTTGTCCATACTACATACATTATTATGCACAAAGCTGGTTGGAAAGATTCCTTTTGTGTGTTTGATACTTGGAGACACCCTGCTCCCGCTGTGTTCACTCTTTTATTAAGGAAGTCAATTAGTTTAACTGCCGTTAGCTTTAATAAGAGTGGGATGACTAATTAACGGGTGAATTAAACTGGTGGTCTGTTTAAAAAAAGAAGTGGTGAGTGTGACATGACTCTGTGGAAGTAGTGTGAGTACATTACTCTGAATTCATTGTGTGTGCTGCTGTAGTAGGTTACAGGTAATTCCACCTCCCTCAAGGTGTTTCTTACACACAGGTGATTTCACTTTGCCTGATTAGACTTCTCTGCCACTCCCCTGCTCTCCTCTTGTCTCTGTTGCACGTGTAAGGGTGGGACAAACTCCTGAAGGACTTGTCAGCTGTATTTTCTCTGTGGGTAATTGGTTTCACAGGAATTCTGAAAACAAGGACAGTGTCACATGAGGCTCCCCACACAGACAGCGGAGAGGAGGCGAGTTAATGATCCTGTGCAGTGTGTGGTCTGTGGGCAATGTCATGACTCTGATGGCCAGCGGGAGGCAGAAAGGTGGGCAGTGAGTGATGAATGAGGGGTTTTCTGTGGTTGGTTTGAATCCATTAACTGTTTCACATTCAAAAATTAAAATAATAAAAACAATTATGCAGATTTTGGCCCAGCAAGACAGCTGGTAAACAGTAATGACCTTCCTTTTCCTTCTGCTGACATTTAGGAGGTCTAAAGCAGAGGTGATGAAGGCAGTGCCAGTTGCACCAGCTGTACTGAGACTCATGGTGAGTAAACATACTAACATACATGTAAATGAAAGCTGCAGTGTTGCTCTTTTTGTACTTCTTCTTGAGTTTTCTCCCCCACAACACCATCACCTTTAAATGAACGAATAAGAAGTTAGTGTGAACTGTGTAAAACAGGGTCATTGGGTTGTTACCAATGTGAAACCCCGCCAGCTCTTTTTTTTCACAGTTTCTCTTGTAGTGTGAGAATCTGTTGAATCGTGTAGAGTAATGCTGCAAAGCTTCTGTGATTTAGTCATCAGCTGACCTGTATGTAATATAGTGCCATTACGGCTGCAGAATCTGGGTGATTCATGGAGAATTCACTGAGAATTAATAGCCTGCCAACTGCGACTCTCAAAGGCTTCGTGATGTAACCAGCGACTGGGCTGAGGGGGGGCAGAGGGCATTTGTAATCACCTGTCCAGTGTAATTTAAATTATCTGAGGATAGATAGTGTCATCTTCTCGTCCTCTTGGAATTTGCTCTCTGAGTCACATTGCTCGGTTAATGTGGACTCTCATTCTGCTGCGTTCATGTCACATGGTGGAGATTTCATATTAAAGACTACACCCATGAGGCAGCCAAGAGGTGCTCCATA